TGACAGTAAAAGCGACATGCAAAAGTTAAAGTGTGGATATATAATTGTGATGTAAATAAGATTTCTTTTCCACTGAGATAAATTTAAAGCTATTCTTCTAAAAAACCTTATTTTCTTCCCTAATTTCCCACATAAGTAATCTGCATTACTGTTGAAAGTCAATTGGGGATCTAAAATAACTCCTAGGTATTTAATCGTATATACTTGTTCAATGGCAATACTGTTTATACAGATGATAAAGTTACGTGTCGCAAAATTGTTACAGGTCGATTTAGTAAACAGTTACATAAACTTGGTTTTATTTTCATTTAATTTTAATTTATTGATACACAACTAGTCATACTGAATACTTAGTGCACTGTTTAAGGTGCAAACAGCTTCCTCAAAATCACTAGCTGTGACAGATATAAGTGTGTTATCCGCGAATAAACTTACAAAAGAATTTTGTAAAACATCCTTTATGTCATTTATGTATATATAAAGAACAATAATGGGCCAAGGATGCTGCCTTGTGGTACACCAAAATTACACTCCGTTACATTTGACACAATATTGCCTATTTTTGTTGTGGATTAATTTTGTGGCTTCTGATTTTATACCAAATTTCTGTAGTTTATAGAGTACCAGTTTTCGATCAGTTGTTTCGAAGACACACTTTAAATCCTCAAACACATTCAAACCTACCTTTTCTTTATTAATTTCTTCCCTCCGATTAAAACAAGCAAATGGCCAGGATGATTGGCGTGAGCTTTTTTAAATACATTGCCAATACTTTTGTTCCTTATTTGAAAGAAAAATCCATCCATTTTCCAATTGTGGTATTTCTTGATGGCATTTGACTTTAGAGTTAAGTCGTTTCTGTAGTCAAAACAAAATAATACTTGTAACGTTATATCCCAACTCAACGCACATTTTGCAACCTCTTGCTGTTTGTGGCAAAAATTGCGCAAATGGAGAATTGATAATGATGATAAGGACATAAATTAAGAGTGATGTCTCTAGCGTTTTGTTGAGTATTATAGAAGACCAGGCATAAATACCAATAAGTATATAATAAAAACGATACTAAAGAAAAGTGTAGTACATGATATTAAAAAAGTCGTGTAGATAAAAAACAATTTTTTCCACAATTTGTAATTCGCTACAGGACGTTTATTTACTTACGATTTTTATACAAAAGTGCCAATTACTTTTAGAGTACCTTAAGTATATAACCAAGACAAATAATATATTACAAGAATTTAAAAAATGAGAGTAATCTAAATCTAAAATGATAAACTGGTGTTCTAGTTTGATTCGTACCTGAGTCATGCAACACCCTGTATACCTTTGTTTAATTTTAAAATGTGAAGCCATCATACAAATTTTGTTAACACATATTTTTAAATATCTCTAACAATAAGAATGATATTGAACTTTTTCACAAGATTTGTACATCCCGTATGTACAATTAGTTGTGATAAAAAAATGATTACCATTTGCTATTTTTTGTTAAATATAGAGATTGTTAACTAGCTTAACATCTTACAGTTTTATGTCCCAAAGATGGCCATTGTCTCTTGATATATAGAATTGTTTTGCTAGTCACATTATTTATTGACTGGTATTCCATACCAGTTTTTCAGTGTTACAATTATTAATGTATTATTGTAAATTTACTAATAAATGTTTAAATATGACTCAAATAATCATCTAATTAACCTTAATTCCATAATAAAAGCATTTTCGAACAGCCTGAAGATTTTATAGACAATTAAATTGTGTAATTAGCTAATTATAGTTTTTTCTTATTGAAAACCAGCTAGGTTGGGTATCACCACCCACGCGTATCCAACAGATAACCGTTTCATAAACTAAATTGTAAATTATAAGCAATAATAACTAGATAATTAATATTTTCACAAGTTGGTAATACGTTATTTCAACACTGTTAATTTTCATTCCTCCTCAACCTTTGATCATCCAGGGTGTACTACTTACTTGACTGTTAATTTTGTTTACATTAAATTTTTTCAAATTTGAAATTTATGAGATCTATATTTAGTAAGATCTTTGACATGGAGTCCACGAATTATAGCTTAAAATAAAAATCAACTTTCATATCGTTATTTTACGATAGCGCAGAAGTTCAAAACATATTTTTGTACTGCCGAAGGTATTACCTCAAACTGGAGAGAGAGTTTTTTTCCCTGGGCTCGAATAACACTGAAGCTTATTGGCTTATAGCACCCACTCTGTCACCCTTGTACCTTGTACAAGTTTGTACAGATCCTTGGGTGAGTGGGTTCTATACGTTGTTGGATCAACCTGAGGTTATCCAGAAAGTGCCTGTCTTTTGCGGGCCCAGTCTGGAGGCGTGCCCAGTCATGAACCCTCTTATCACTTTCAACTGGTTCCTATTCATAAAGAGTAGTTCTCCAGTTCTTTTGGGACATGGTCTGCCTATGAAGGCTTTTCCATGTGTATGTTTTGGGGTGCTTCCCCAATAGTTAATATGGAGAGAGGGTGTAACACTCTTGAACTGGAGAGATCATATTTGAAGGGGTTTCTATCTAACCCTTCCACGAATGCCTTTGTTCAGATTTAGGAATGGGGTAGGAAAAAACTGCGCCCACTCACGGAATTGGTGACAGAAGATTGTCTTACCCTTCGTAATTTACGTTACACTTAATTCTCTTTCTCTTTATTTCGTTATCTTGTTGCTGTGGATAAACCTGCACTAATTCCAGCTTCATTTGATTACTGGATTACCCTTGAGATTACCAATTAGGCAGCTGATCTTGCTCAAGTTGTCTGACCATTCATTCAATGTAGTATGAACTATGAATGTATGGGTCGCAGTAGTTACTTAAGAATAATGGTCAGTTCAGCCTCAACCACCAGCCTCTGCACCCAACTGGGGTGGTTCAAACGATTGGCATTACATTTGTTTTTAAGATTACGTGAGTCGTCTACGATTGTACCAATTAAAGATTTCCCGTATACTTTTCATAATATATGTTTTCGTATAGATTTACTGCGAGTAAATTAGACAAACCCGTATAAATCGAGGTATCGAATTTTAAAACATGCGATAAAATTAAACGGCGATTCCAGGTCAACGCGTATTGCGTGGGTCAAAAATAAATGGGGTCGCAGTTCATCAGCTTCTGAGAACCCGTCTCGTTGCTTTGGTGCAGTCATGCTACTACCGTTATGCCCATTGGGTTATTATCTCCAAAACGGCGACTTTGTATTTATTATTATGTTGATGTTGATATTGCTGGATTAACGGTTTGCGAATCCATTTGTCATTTTTTTCCTTATCTGTGATTGTGTCAGGTTATACAAAGTATAAAGCGTTTTAACTAACTAATAACGTTTGGTATTGTAGAAAAGGTAATGGTGGCATAAAAATTGATATTGAATTCATTAGAATAAATTTAGATTTTAAAGAATAACTACCTAGTTTTTGTTTAATTGTATCTAAAGTTGAAATAATTCGGAAAAGTAGAAAGGAGACCAAATATTTTTTGTATGGCTATAATTCAACAATTGCTGAAGAACTTCTGAGAAATTGGAGAGAAATTTTCGAGAAATTGTAGGAATTGGATAGTAAAAGGGAATTGGGTATAAAAATTTTGATTTCCCACCAGATATAGTATATTACATTACGAGTGTGAAAAATAGCTAGTGATATACAATATTTTTCAAACGACCACAAAATAATTTTATCAAAAAAAGAAATATGGCCGTAAAGGTTCCATCAATATGTGGCTGGTTTTAGATTTGTTTTTTTGTCTTATTGAATAATTTTTAAAGCATTTTGTCAAAATTAAAAATATTGTGATTCCATTTACAAACCATTTCGAATAATTGAATAATTTTTAAAGCATTTTGTCCAAATTAAAAATATTGTGATTCTATTTACAAACCATTTCATAGGATGATAAAGTTAAAATAACATTGGGTACAAATAATATTAGAATACATTAATGTTTTTCATTAGTTTATTTTTTTAAAGAATTAAGTTAAACAACTATGAACAAAAATTTTTTTTAATATTAATGTTTACCCACTTCGCTATTCACAATTTTTGGCTGAAAAAAGTAATTAAAATAGTAGAAAATAAATAGCCAAAAAATCTTGTAGAGAATATATTATGATAAATAATATATCTTGTATTTTAAATAAATAAACAACAATAGTCGTATGTATTTTTTCAATTCAACTAATTTAAGTAGTTACTTTAAAATTCTTTTATTAATTTTTTAAAAAGAAATATCTAAGACCTATACATAAAAATAATTATTAATAATTAAATCACCAAATCGATTTTACTATTAAAAAAGACATTACATCAATCAAAATAGGAATTAGACATCTGACATATTTTAATGACTAATAATTTTGAGATAGATGTTATTTTTTACAAAACATTTATGGAAAAAAACTAACTTCCTTAATAATGATCGCAAATGGTTCTGATGATGATTTTTGGGTTATCAAGATAATTTTAAGACATTTTTCATGAAAAATATTTCGGTGGTGTCATAGTAAACATTTTTTTACAATTTTTTTTTTTTTTGTTTAAAAAGTATCTTTCCTAATAATGATCGCACAAGATCGTGACAATAATTTTTGGCTTTTTTTTAGATAAGTTTAAGACTTTTTCAATGAAAAATATTTCGATGCAGTCATGTGAAATAATTCAAGCTTTTTTTACAAAATATTTTTGGTAAAAAATGATGGATTTTTCAGATAATAATTTTAAGACCTTTTTTCATGAAAAATATTTTAATGAAGTCATGTGAAACATTTAAAGTATATTTTGACAAAATACCTTTGGTGAAAAACTAATTTTCTTAATAATGATCGCACAAGGTATTAATGATTATTTTTGGCTATTTCAAACAACTTTAAGACTTTTTCGAGATAAAAATTTTCGTAACCTTGTGAAAAAATTATTTTTTTTTTCAAAATTTCTTTGGTAAAAAACTATTGCTAAATGTAAAACTGACCTGCATTTGTACGAGTTTCGACGTCATCGTATTTGCCTAAATTGTCCTATCTGTAAAAATCTAGTATCACAGCCTTAGCATTCTGAAACAAAACAAAAACTTTTTAAATAATATACCGACAAGAAGTAGAGGCGAAAATCAACATAAATATTTTCTGCTTGATAAACATATACGAAAAAGTTAAAAAAAATATAATCTTTAATCGATATTATATTAATAACGTTCTAAACGATAGCAACAGTTTGCTGAAACCTTAATGAAGTATATTTTTTAAAATTTTCAAAGGTGTGGCTCCAGGTGGAAACGAAGCATTTTAGGAGGTACCCTTTTTTAAAAATAAATAAATGATTTATGAATATATCTCCCCTAAAAGTTTTTTGGTATATTTATGGGACACCCTGTATAGTCGCATGTCCCAAAATACGTATTGCGAGTATTAAGAATAAATTAGAAAAAATAACGCGCACCGCACCTGTTTGCTGACCTACTGCCCGCAAGTCTCTCAAACACTCAATTGCTCCATAATTTTATTGAGGTAATCCATAAATCGTGTCTAGTTGTGACATCGTTTACATTAAAAAGTCGTTCACCCTGTTTTGCCCTGCCCTACTAATTGAAATTGAAAAGTAAACCCTTTATATCCATACCACACACTATGCGGCCTACTTACAGGAAAACATATTTCCTCTCTTTGAAATAATATAAGCTGTTAAATCCGCTATTAAATTTCAGTTTCAGTAAAGAAAATAAATGTTTGGGAGTAGAAGTAGCTCTTTAATTTTCTGAAATATATGTTATAAACACTTTGTAAGTACATTTTGCTGGATAAATATACTTACATTGGAATAATAAGCAATTTATCTTCTGATGAATATTTTTGGTTTCTACAATTAACTTGTTTATTATGTTTCAGTTTGGAATCTTTAAATATTTCAAATGGAAACCTTCTTTGATATTTTGGTCTCTATGCTGAACTAAAAATTTTTCCTTGAAAACCTTTCGAAGGACAATTAAATATTCTGTCGATAAAGGAAGAGATGAGCAAGGGATGTTCTCGAAACTCTGGCTAAAAGGCCGCTCTAGTAAATTGTTTCAGTTATATAGTGAATTATAACCATACAAAAATATTTTTTAAAATTATCTCATGAATTAGTTTTTTACTTATTGTTTTGTGATTTGTTTGTCAATAATTTACATTATTAAGTAATCTTAGGGCCGATTTTTCCACCTCTGAGTAAAAAACTTACATGTAGGTTTACTTGATAGATTCACACACAATAGCCATATAGCTTAACTTTACTCAGATGTGAAAAGACTGGCCCTTAACTAAATAAACTTAACAATACGTAGTTTTTTATTATTATTATTATTATTATTATTATTATTATTATTATTATTATAGCACCTTTTTGCACTTGTTGCACAATAAACAATTTTTTATGATTTACAAATTAAACAACTTAAAGAAAACTATAAAGAAAGGTATATTCGTTAGCCAAATGATTCATATTAAAAAAAACTAAGTTCTATTTTCAATTGCAATTGAGAACATTTCCCAAAAAATAAAAAGTGAATGGATAATATTTATTTGTACAGTCACAATTTAAAATTCTAAGATTATAAACAAACATATAGATAAAAATTTTCAAGGCATTTTTTTATTTCACTATTGGAAGTAAAGTAATAATATATGTTTAAGTCTACACTGTAATTATTTAAATTTTCTGAAGTCCTTCTTCCACTACAATAGCGTGCACAATAAACATTCCATTTTTATTTACCTAATGGTTTTTTTTATAATGAAAGTTCTTTCTGACGCACCCACTGTACCCAGTTGACTATGATTTACAGACTACTGACTGGGCAAAATAGTCCTAAAATAGGATGGGTACTTTTACGCAAATTAAATAATTTCTAATCGATGTTTAATATTTATGCTTTTAATAGAATATACGAAGGACAGTAAAAAATGTTACCCGAAAATTATCAAAACAAGCATTTTAAAGAATATGAAGAAAAATGCTACTGAAAAAGAGGTAGCAAGTAAAAAGTTAATCCATTTTTGACAAATAGAGGACTCAAAGTCAATTACAATAATTAATAGCAATACCAAAAAAATCATTGAAGTATGCTAGAAATAATAACGGTACTAAAATCGATCCCTGGGAAAGTCCCCTCTCAAAAAGTTTAAAACAAATTTCATGTACTCCAATACCTTTTCCATTTTCATAGTAAAATCGGGTGAGATACACAATACACAATCTGAACTTAGATCTGAAAATATACCTAAACAGTCTTAAGCTTCTTCAAAAAAGTCTTCAATGTATTTTACTAGTAAATGAAATAGCGTCTATTATTGTAGAACGTTCCCTTCTAAAACCATGAAAAGGAGAGAGTAGGTACATTACTAGATTATGAACATGAAATTAGGTTTTAATACATTGCTTTTTAAAAATATAGAAAGAATTACAATTTGTCTGAAGTTACATTGCAAAGATAGATCACTTTTTTAAATAGAATCAGAAGATATAGCTGAAGAATTAAAGCACAGTGGATTTAAAATCTTGGATGTGGTTAATATTCAAAGGAGAGAAACTAAAGAAGAAGAAAGAGAAAATCAAGTTATAAGAACTGCTATAAAAAAAGCCATTGCCGCTATTCATGTTAACATTTGAAAACGGTGAAGACATTAAAAGTATTTATGAAATTAAGACATACAAAACCTAATAATCCAAATTGAGCCAGTGAGAAGCCCAAAATTGATACCCCAGTGCAAACGGTGCCAAAGATATGGGCATACTATACATTTTTGTAATAGACAACCAGTATGTGTTAAATGTGCCAAAACCCATCTTACAGGAGAGTGTGATAAACCGGCAAGTGTACCACCAAAAGGCGCAAATTGTAATCAAGCACATCCAGCAAGCTATAGAGAATGCGAAGTGGCAAAGGAGATACAATACAGAAGAGACCAGGTAAGCAAAACTAACCACAATAGAAATAATATCCAATCTAGACGATCTATTATTAATAATGCACAAAGCAAGGCAAATTTGACATACTCAAACGTGGCTAGTAATAACAGACCTCATTAAACCGAAAACAAATGTTCAAAGAACCAAATAATGATTATGCTTAATACAATTCTAGACAGAATTACTAAATTAGAGGAGGCCACCTTCTCCCAAACGTCTAGACATCCATAATGGAGCGTAAAGACTTAATAATTGTAACATGGAATGCCAATGGACTCCTTGACCATCGAGAAGAGCTACAGGTATTCCTAGTAGAACAAAATATAGATATCTGTATAATATCAGAAACGCATTTAACAAAACAAAGCTATATACAATTTAAAGAATACAAAGTCTATAGTACTATACATCCCTCGGATACTGCTAGAGGTGGAAGCGCCGTAATAAAATAAGAAAATATTAACCATTAAGACGAGAATAAAATAGGAACAGAAGAAATCCAGGTAACAGCAGTTAACATAAAAACGAATAAATACAGCTTCGTAGTCGAAGCAGTATATATCCCACCACCACATAATTTGAAAAAAGAAAATTACAGAGAACTGTTACGACAAATGGGAGAAAATTTTATCTTGGGAGGTGAATTTAATGCCAAAAATTAACAACCACCAAAGGGAATTGAATGCAGCTGCAAGTGAAATTGGATGTGACTACCAGTCAACAAGAAAACCAACCTATTGGCCAACCGACAGAAATAAAATAGCTGACTTACTGGACTTTTACATCAGTAAAAAAATACCCGGAAACTTTATTAAAATAGAAAAAAACTTTGACTTAGACTCAGATCATTCCCCAGTGATAAAGATACTAAGCGAAAATATAATCCAAAAAGAAATTAGACCTACACTGTGTAATAAAAATTCTGACTGGGTAAGTTTTAAAAGTGAATTAAGTAATAGAATCGAAATAAGTGCACAACTAAAAACAACTAGAGTACGAGTGGAAAGATTGCCACCAATAAAAGAAGACAACGGAAACTGGGCAAGATTAAATAAACAGAAAGCTGACATCTTTGCAGATCATCTCAAAAAAATAGAATCGAACTAAGTGCACAACTAAGAACAACTAGAGTACGAGTGGAAAAATTGCCACCAATAAAAGAAGACAACGGAAACTGGGCAAGATCAAATAAACAAAAAGCTGACATCTTTGCAGATCATCTCGAAAAAAATGTTCAACCGAATGAAGAACAAGTACTCGATTTATTATAACAAAAGAACACAAACATAGTAGAAATTCTTAGGGTAACGCCTAAAAAGGTAGCTAAGAAAATCAAAGAAAATATCAATTCTAAGAAAGCACCCGGGTATGATCTGATTACAGGTGAAATACTAAAACAATTGCCAAGAAAATCTGTGGTTAAACTTACTAATATAATAAACGTTCTATTTCGACTACAGCATGTACCTAGCATATGGAAAGTCGCTGAAATTATAATGATACCCAAACCTGGAAAACCACCAAATGAAGCGAAGTCTTATAGACCTATATTCCTGTTACCAGTTTTATCTAAACTTTTTGAAAAACTTTTACTAAAAAGATTGAAATCACTAGACAGTAAAAATATAATACCTGACCACCAATTTGGATTTAGCAACAAGCATTCCACTATTGACCAAGTTCACAGAATAACGAATGAAATAGAGAAAACACTAGAAGAAAAGAAGATCTGCAACTCACTCTTACTAGATGTAGCTCAGGCTTTCGACAAGGTATGGTTAGAGGGCCTTGAATATAAAATAAATAAACTTCTACCTAGAAGAATATTCCAAGCTTAAAGAAACTATAGCAGGGGTACCTCAAGGAAGTGTTCTGGGACCAGTTCTTTACCTGTTGTTTACCTCCGACATACCACAAACGCAAAATGTAAAAGTGGCCACATTTGCCGACGACACGGCCATACTTGCCATCGATAAAACCATAGAAGAATCGACCAGAAAACTTCAACATGCAACCAATAAAATCTATGAGTAGACAAAAAGATGGCGCATTAAGCTCAACGAAACTAAAACAGTTCAGGTTAACTTCACTAACAAAAGATCAGTAG